GGGAATTTGGGTCCAGGAAGGAGAGGTGAGGGGCAGCCACACGTAGAAGTGTCACAGAGGGCGATGGTCACTGGGGGAGAGCCCAGGAGGGCCCAGGAGAGGACAGGGAGACGCTGCTTCGGGCCAGTCCAAGGCGGGCAGAGAACCAGACTCTGAAGGTCAAGGGCAGAGGAGGTCGGGTGGGCCCACAGCAAGGCCAGGGCCGAGGTGATGCCGTGGGAAGACCAGACTCTGTCTTGGCCAGGCACCCCTCTCCGTCTTGGCCCTAGGGAGACCCCCCAGGCACGCTGGACACTGTGTGGGGCCTGTACGGGGAATGGGGTGGGTTTTATAAGCAGAGGGGCTGGGGGGGGTCTTTGTTGTGGGTGGCTGGGGGGCTGCCGTGGGGAGCAGGGGCTGAGAGGCCCCTGCTACGGCGGCGCCTGCCTGGTAAGCCCCAAGCAGGGGACAGCGCATCTTGGCAGGCTGGCACGAGGGCAGGGAATAGACGCTTGGATGTGGCGTGGCAGGTGCTGGCCCCTACCCCTGCTCCCTTTCCTTCCTTTAAACCAGGCTGAATCCACTCAATCTGCTCGCTGGTCCTCCAAGGCCAGGCCCACCACTAACCTCTCTGTGCAGCCCAGCCACCTCCCCTCTAAGGCCCCTACCACATAAGCCCCGCAACACCACCGGTGGCCCTGCTCAGTGAGGGGGCTTGGAGGGCTCAGCCTGGACCAAGCAACCAGCCGCGTGGGCAGCCTGGGCCAGCCAGGGGGTCCTCCTCGGCCACAGGAAGCAGCTATCAGCACCGCACTCCCTGCCTTTGAGAGGAAGTGAGATTTTAAATGCAATATGTTTGTTTGCTATAGAGGATTCTAGTCCGCGCTCCTCTCCAGGAGGCTGAGCAGCAAGAGCTGGCATCTGCGCGGGGAGCAGACGCGTGGGGGCGGGTGGGGGGAGGTGAGCGCTCTGGAAGTGGGGCTCAGGCTGCCAGGGGCTGCCGTCGCCTGCCTGGCTGCTTCCACAAGAGCACTAGATACCCAAGAGGCCTGGGGGGGCCCCCGATGCACCCAGGCACTCTGCTCCCCACCGCCTCAGCCCCAGAGGGCAGGAAGCGCCAACTGCATCCCACAGTTCTGGTTTCCTCTTGGTCCCTTTAGTAATGACATAAGGTCTGGTTCAGAGGCATCGGGACCAGCCCCTGGGTGGTTGGCCTGGACAGGAATCTTCATCCTCATGAGAGAGACACGGAAGCTACCTCTCTGGGCCACACTAACCCTGCAGGTGTCTGGGACCCTCCAGGACCCATGCTGGGCACAGACCCACCAGCTCTAACACGAGTCAGAGGTGGCAACCACTGTGACAGGTGAGTAGCCAGGCGCACACACCCCGTACCTGCCCCCCCACACCACCCTCTGCACCCCCAGGGCAGAGCCACACATGGCAGCCCAAGGCAGAGATAGGCCAAGAAGCCTGGACTTCCCCAGCCCAAAGTCCATGGGTCTGGCTCAGTCTGCACCAGGCCGGACACACGGGCCACGGCCATCTTAAGACAGCCCGCCCCTCCAGCTTCCCGCCAGGCCCCTTGGCAGGGCATGGAAGCCCAAGGCTCGCAAAGGGGCCTCTCATCACATCTGCCAGCCCCACCTTGCAGTCCACAGGCATGGAGCCCGAAGGCCTCCCCTCAGGCATTCTCGACCTTCCCGATCTGCACAGCAGCCTGAGGTCACTGGTCCAGGGCGTGGCCAGGCCTAGGCCCTGCTCTGACCCCGTGGGACAAGACAGAGGGACTCACGCGAGCACCATCTCTGCTGGAGTCCTGAGAGCACCCCCCCAACCCCGCAGACACACACTCACCACGAGCTGGGGCACGGGCAGCGGCTTGCCCTCCTGGCTCAGGGACACGTAGGTGAAGAAGGCACTGGCGGCCCGGTAGCGCTTTTGTGAGTTGTCCACCACGGGGTCGGCGTCCACCAAGACCTCGATTTCCATGGATTTATTGCTCGTGAAGGTCATACGTCCAGAGATGGTGATGACACAGCCTGCAGAGACGGGAAGGCGAGTGTCAGGGCGGCCTTCGCCCCACAGCAGGCCCGGGGAGAAGTCAGTGTTGCCGAGGACAGCCAAAGACACTTGGTTAGGGCACAGCCAAAGACACAGATGCTTAACTAATTACTACGATGTTAAAATGACAAAATATTAGAATGCATCATTAGTAGCTCATGAATGTTTATCTTTCTACTGAGCAGACGTTTATTTTTATCATCTACATGGAAGTTTAGAGTTGAAGGGATCTCGGTGGCCACCTGCCCGAGCAGAGAGGAGGTGGCATCTACTGGAACGCTTCCCAAGCCACTCCACCCCCAGGGGAGCCCCCAGCTGCTTCCCAGTAGCTGAGTGTGAGCCGGCTCTGTCCTCAAGTTCAGGTCAAATCTGCAACCTGCACTGTCCACTCTTCGGCCTTTCTGGCGCCACTGGAGACACACAGCCGCCCACATGCTGCTCCCCAGCCCTGAAGTTCCAGCGTCTCAGGGCCCCTGCCCCTGCCCCTTGGTGGGATCCTATGTGTCAGGCATCCTTTCTGGCCCTGCAGGTCCTGCCCACGGGACCAGAGCTCCCTCCTCTGAGCCGCTGGACATCACGCCAGAGTCCCCCATGCCTACCCTGCTATCACGTCCCCTCAGACCCAGGCTGGGACCCACAAATTCTCCAGCCGACACCCGCGCTCCCTGGGCCTCGGCTGCAGCACCCATGTCTGCTAGAGTGGGAGGCAAGTGCTGCACACACAAGAGAGCCAGGACCACCCGGCTCCAACAGACACTGTGTTCTCACACTCCTGCAGAGGAAAGGCTTCCAGACCTCTTTCCCGTCTCTCCCCAGAGGCCACTTTTCGCCCTTCAGGCTGTCCAGGGCTCCCACCCCCAGGTCAGAGGGCACTGCCACAGAGGGGAGGAGCCTGGGTCTGCCTCTTCCAATAATTAGCCTGGAAAGTGCTGGCGCTGCTGGAATTGTGTGCAGGCCCCAGCGTAAAATATTCATCAAGAAGCAACTCCAAGCAAGAGAGGCTGCCTTCCTGTCAGCGGGCCTGGGGAGGGAAGCTAAAAATAACCGGGAGGTTGAAGAGCCCACGGTGTGGAGGGGAGGCAGAGTGGGAGGAGTGGGCGACCTGGGCACATCTGGAGGGACCATGTGCACATGCATGTTTGCCGCGTGGGCACACGTGTGCCTGAGCCTGGCCTGTACTCATGCAGGCGGTCCCAAGTGACAGCTACAAATCCTCTGGGGCTGCCTGTCCTCTGCACTGGAGGCTAGATAAACAGCCGAGCCCCAGGACCTCAGTGAAGAATCAAGACTCTCTATAAGCACGAAAACAACAGCCTGGATCAACATGACACCAGCCACATGCAGGCTCACACTGGGGGAGGGTCACCACTCCTCCATTTGAACCCCACCCTTCACCCTCTGCAGCCACCTCCCCCAGGGCTAGCCTCCTCCCACATCCGATCCCCACCCACTGGCTCCATGAAAGTCCACAGGTCCAGTCCCAAAGGCTCCTTGATGCGCCACTGTCCACAACAAGACGGACCTTCTTCCCAGAGCCCTGGATTACAGGCCTCGTGGTCATGCCCTGGTCCCCCCAAGCTGCTGAGTGCTGCGGCAGGTGCAGGGGTGTCTTGCCACCCTGTGGGCACCTGGGGCAGCCAGGTAGCTGTGAACCGTGCCCGCAAAGACTGCTTGGGCTCCGGGTGCGCTCTCCAACTCGGAAACGGCCAGTATTGCCAGCCTTCCCGCAGCACCCCGTCTGTTTCACCGATGCCGTTTCAATGTGCATGATCGTCCAGGCTGCCTCGATCTTCCTATGCACACTAGGAGACGCCACAGACTCACGCCTGACGAGGAAAGGGCCCAGACGCTCCAAGGCTGCATCCCAGCCCCCCGTGGCTCCTCGCAGTATGTGGCCTCAGGCCTGTCGTGGCACCCAGTTCCTGTTACAGGCAGCTGGCTCCACCTTCAGCAATGTCCCGCTTTCACCTGGATGTCACCAAGAGAGGCTCCTTGGGCTCTTCCTTCCTTCCCAACTCCACTAGCATCTTGGCGGCGCGGTGGCGTCGCCTGTAGTACTAACATCTGGAAGCCAAAGTGAGAGGATCGCTTGAGCTCAGGAATTTGAGACCAGCCTGAGCAAGAGCGAGACCCCATCTCTACTAAAAATAGAAAAATCAGCCAGTGTTCGTGGCACATGCCTGTAGTCCCAGCTACTCAGGAGGCTGAGGCAGGGAGCATTTGAGCCCAGGTGTTGGAGGTTGCAGTGGCTATGATGATCCACTGCACTCTACCTGGGGCGACAAATAAATTAAAATAAAAAATAATACAAAATTTAAAAGTATATATAACTAAATAAAATAAAAGTAATCTGGCCCCCAGCTGACTCTGATTCCACCCCCTTCCAGCAACATCTAACACCCTCTCTTTCACCCACTTGTATGCTCCCCCTGGAGGGTCGAGTTCCAGTGGGGAGGCTCTGGGGAAGAGCAGGTAACGCGGGGCAAGACAACGTGCCACCCTCTGACCCTCACCCAGCCCATGTGGCATGCACAATGGCCACCAACCACTGTACGGAGTATGGAAACTGAGGCACACAGAAAGAAGATGCCACCATCACAAACTAGTAAATTTAAAGCTCTGACGAGACCCAGTGCAGGACGCCTGCTCCATACCTTAAGCTGCGACAGCACGTCAGCGTTTTGGTGGAAGGCCTGGGGGGTCTGAGGGGCCTGCGGCCACAGCTCTGCCTATCCAGCAGGAGCATGAGGCCAGGAAGGAGCACCTTGGCTGGAGACGCAGAGCCTGCGAACCACTGAGACGTTCTGAGCCCCAGGTGTCCAAGCTGGGACAGATGCTAAATTAACTATGCACTAGATGCCTAGGTGAATTCAGAGGTGTCAAGCACCTGAGTATGGCACAAGTAGCAGAGGGGGTTGGTGGGGCAGTCACTTTTTCTAAGAGTGGTCAGGGAGGGCCCTTTCCAAGGAATGAACAGTCTGGGTAAAGCAGGCAGGAGCCGGCTCTGGAGGGTCTGAGGGAAGGTGTCCAGACGGGAACAGCAAGTGCAAGGCCCTGGGGGCAGGAGTCGGTCTGTTGTTTGAGGAACAGGCGAGGGCTTCCGGGTGCAGAGTAGTCATGTGGGTTTAGGTGGCAGGGGAATCCGATTTTGGATTTTAGCTGGCTGAGCCCCAGGAGGGTTGCGGTCAAGGGCAGTGGGAGGGGAGTAGGACAGCTGGGACTGAGCAGGGATTGCTGGTGGGACGGTTGTGGGGGAACGTGGCTCCTCCAGGAGGACGGGAGGGGCCGAGTAAGAGTGCAGCCTACGAGGAGGGCTGGGATTTAGTGGGGAAGAGTAATGAGTTCAATTGTGGAAAGTGTTTGAGATGCTTCTGGAAGACCCTGTGGGGGGTGGCGGCTGGTAAAGTATTTGGAAGTCAAAGGGGACACAGCAAACACCAGGCACGGGACAGGGCTGGCACCCAAGGAAGAGGAGCACCAGGTCAAAGCCTCGTGTTCATGGGTACTGTGGGTGGCCAGGGAGGCCAGCGTGTCCCTATGGACCACTGCGGAATCCCACAAGTCAGGAGTGCAACGGGAGTGGCTGGTCAGTTGGGCCAAAGCCAGGAAAGGCCACGAGGTATGAGACAGCACAGCCTTCGGCCCTGGCCACGCCGCCGTACAAGGGAAGACACGGCCCAGGAAAGAAAGGAAACAGCGTCTGGAGGCCTGGAAGGAAGTTTCAAGAATGTGCCTGTTGGGCGGGGAATTGGGTCCAGGAAGAGAAAGGTGAGGGGCAGCCACACGTAGAAGTGTCACAGAGGGCGATGGTCACTGGAGAGCCCAGGAGGGCGCCAGGAGAAGGAAACAGGGAGACCGCTGCTTCAGGGACATCCAAGGCGGCCAGAGAACCAGACTTCTGAGGTCAGTTGCTGTGAGCTAGGCTGACGCCACGGCACTCACTCTAGCCTGGGCAACTAAGGGAGACTCTGTTTCAAAAAAAGGGAAAAGAAATATGGGATTATGTAAAGAGGCCTAACATAAAAATTATAAGCATCCCTGAGGGTAAAGAAGAAAATACACAAGGGCTTAGAAAGCTTATTTGAGGCAATACTTGAGGAAAATTTGCCAGGTCTTACTAGAAATCTGGACATCCAGATGGTAGAAGTACAACAGACTTCTGGGAGATTCATCACCAAGAGTTATTTACCATGACATATAGTCATCAGACTGGCCAAAGTTAACATGAAAGAGGCACTCCTATAGACTGTAAGGTGAAAGCATCAGGTGACTTACAAAGGAAAACCCGTCAGACTAACTGCAGACTTCTCAAATGAGACCTTATAAGCCAGAAGGGACTGGGACCCTATTCTCAGTCTTCTCAAACAGAATAATGCCCGGCCTAAAATTTTGTATCCTGAAAAACTAAGTTTCTTATATGATGGAGAAATAAGGAGTTTCTCAGACAAGCAAACACTGAGGGAATTTGTCAAGACCAGACCTGCCCTGTAGGAAGCACTCAGAACAGCGTTTACGTGGATCAGCACAATAGACACTCACCAGTGTAAAATCATCCAAAAGCTGAAGTTCAGAGCTCAGATACCACAATGGCTTAAGAGGTAAAACAAAGCAATAAAGTTCTATGCAACAGGATGAACAGAAATCCACCCCACTTATCAATTCTTTCAAAAATGTGAATGGCTTGAACTCCTCACTAAAGAGACATAAGCTGTCTGAATGGATAAAAAAATACAACCCAAGTTATCTGCTGTCTCCAGGAAACACATCTAATCCACAAGGACTCATTTAGATCCAAAGTGAAGGGATGAAAAACAACATTCCATGCAAATGGAAGCCAAAAGAATGCTGGTATAGCCATTCTCATATCAGATACATAGACTTCAAATGAATAAAAGTAAAGACAAAGATGGTCATTATATAATGGTGAAGGGAACAATTCAACAAGAAGACATGACAATTCTAAATATTTACACACCTAACACAGGTCTTCCCAGATTCATAAAGCAAATCCTACT